CGGGGCCCTGCGCCGCGCACAGCCTGCTCATCACCGCCGAGGGCCGCCTCTGGAGCTGGGGTGAGCCGGGAACGCGGGATGGAGCGCGGAATCCTCCCTGGGAACGAGGGACGGAGCGCGGAATCCTCCCTGGGAATGAGGGATGGAGCGCGGAATCCTCCCTGGGAATGAGGGATGGAGCGTGGAATCCTCCCTGGGAACGAGGGATGGAGCGCGGAATCCTCCCTGGGAACGCGGGATGGAGCGCGGAATCCTCCTGGGAACGAGGGATGGAGCGCGGAATCCTCCCTGGGAATACGGGATGGAGCGCGGAATCCTCCCTGGGAATGCGGGATGGAGCGCGGAATCCTCCCTGGGAACGAGGGATGGAGCGCGGAATCCTGAGGGATGGAGCGCGGAATCCTCCCTGGGAATGAGGGATGGAGCGCGGAGACCTCCCTGGGAACGTGGGATGGAACATGGAAACCTGCCTGGGAATGTGGGAATACAGGAATGTGGGATCCCAGAGACCTCCCTGGGAATGCGGGATTGATCCCAGAGACCTCCCTGGGAATGAGGGATGGAGCGCGGAAACCTGGGAGTGCGGGATGGAGCGCGGAGACATCCCTGGGAATGAGGGATGGAACCCAGAGACCTCCCCAGGAATGCAGGATGGAGTGTGGAGACTGCCCTGGGAATGAGGGAATACGGGAATATGGGATCCCAGAAAGCTTCCTGGGAATGCAGGATGCCACAAACCTCCCTGGGAACATGGGAATCCGGGAATGCGAGATCCCAGAAACCGCCCCAGGAGTGCGGGATTGATCCCATAAACCTCCCCTGGGAATCTGGGATACCAGAAACCTCCCTGGGAATGGGGATTCCTGAGGGAGCTGGGAAGGGGCTGGAGAATTCCCGAGGGAGCTGGGAAGGGCTCATCCTGGAGGGAAAAGGGATTGGGGTCCCCATCCCTCTGGGATTCCCTGGCAGGAGGGGTCGGGATTTATTCCCAGGGATGAGCGGGAACGCCCTCCGGGGAAATTCGGGAGTAGGGAAGGAGCAGCCAGGGGCGGGGCTGGGAGGTTTTCCCACGGGAATGTGGGATATTCCCGCAGGCCGGAACGAGAAGGGGCAGCTGGGCCACGGCGACACCAAACGCGTGGAGGCGCCGCGGCCGATCGAGGCCCTGGGCAACGAGGCCATCGTGGCGGCCGCCTGCGGCCGGAATCACACCCTGGCACTGACCGGTACGGCCTGGGAACGGTGTGGGAATGGCTTGGGAATGGTCTGGGAATGGTCTGGGAATGGTCTGGGAATGGTCTGGGAATGGTCTGGGAGTGGCCTGGGAATGGCTTGGGAATGGTCTGGGAATGGTCTGGGAATGGTCCGGGAATGGCCCTGGCCTGGGAATGGTCTGGGAATGGTCTGGGAATGGCTTGGGAATGGTCTGGGAATGGTCTGGGAATGGTCCGGGAATGGCCCTGGCCTGGGAATGGTCTGGGAGTGGCCTCGGAATGGCCTGGGGATGGTCCGGGAATGGTCTGGGAATGGTCTGGGAATGGCCCCGACCTGGGAAATGGCAAATCCTGGAAAATGCCCCATCCCAGGAACAGCCCCAATCCTGGGAAAACTTCACTGAATCCCAGCAAACAGCCCAAATCTCAGGGAAAGTGCGCCAAATCCCGGGAAAACTGCACCCAATCTGACCCTATGCCCAAAATCCTGGGAAACGCCCCAAATCCTGCCCCTTTATCCCAAAACCCAACCCCTTCTCCCCCGGATTCTGGGAGAGCATTCCCAAGATCCCGCTTTTCCCCCCGATCCCGCTGTTCCCGCAGAGAGCGGCTCCGTGTTCGCCTTCGGGGAGAACAAGCTGGGCCAGCTGGGGCTGGGGAACCAGACGGACGCCGTGCCCAGCCCCACCCAGGTACGGATCCCAAATTCCCGGCATTCCCGGACAAATCCACACATCTGGGGGCATCCCGTGAAATATTCCCAGGAAAACCCCCTTGGGATCTCAGCCGGGAACTGCGGCGGGGAAAGGAAAAACCGGGATTTGGAAGTTGAGCTGTTGGGGATTTTCCGTTGGAAATTCAGCTTTTTTTCCCCTGTTTCCCAAATTTTTTTTTGGATTCTGGTTTTCCAGCTTTTCCTGCAGATCGGGGATTTCCCATGGAAATTCCCTTTTTTTTTTTCCTTTTTCCTCTGTTTCTGGATCCTGTTTTTCCTGCTTTTCCCGTGTCTTTCTTTTCACCCGCTCTTCCCATCTTCTTGATCCCGTTTTTCCTGCAGACCGGGGATTTCCCATGGAAACTCCCCATTTTTCCCTTTTTCCTGCCTTTCCTGATCCCGTTTTCCCAGCTTCTCCCGCGCTTCCGATCCCCGTTTTTCCCTTTTCCCCCGGGTTTTTTTCTGATCCCCCTTTTTCCCGCCTTCCCCATCCCGTTTCCCCTCGTTCCCGGTTTTCCCGATGCCGATTCCCGGTTTTTCCCAGATCCTGTACAACGGGCAGCCGATCTGCAAGCTGGGCTGCGGTGCCGAGTTCAGCATGGTGATGGACTGCAAGGGGAACCTGTACTCCTTCGGGTGTCCGGAGTACGGACAGCTGGGTACGGAAACCCGGGATAATCCCGTGGGATAACCCCATGGATGTACTCTGTGTACTCCTTCGGGTGTCCGGAGTACGGACAGCTGGGTACGGGATTTGGGATCATCCCATGGGATCAGGGAAGTTGGGAATCATCCTGTGGGATGAGGGCTGGTTCAGGATGATCCCATGGGATCGGGGCTGTTTAGGATGATCCTGTAGGATGGGGATGGTTCAGGGTGATTCCATGGGATCAGGGCAGTTGGGGATGATCCCATGGGATCAGGGATGTTCAGGATGATCCCATGGGATCAGGGCTGTTCAGGATAATCCCGTGGGATCGGGGCACTTCAGGATGATCCCGTGGGATCGGGGCAGTTCAGGATGATCCTGTGGGATCAGGGCAGTTCAGGATGATCCTGCAGGACCAGGACAGTTCAGGATGATCCTGCGGGATCGGGGCAGTTGGGGATGATCCCATGGGATCAGGGCAGTTCAGGATGATCCCGTGGGATCGGGACAGTTCAGGATGATCCCATGGGATCGGGGGAGTTTTAGGATGATCCCATGGGATCAGGGCAGTTCAGGATGATCCCATGGGATCGGGGGCGGTCCGGAATGCGCTGTCTCCGCCTTGTCCCGGCGCTGCAGGGCACAATTCCGACGGGAAGTTCATCGCGCGGGCGCAGCGCATCGAGTACGACTGCGAGCTGCTGCCGCGGCGCCTGGCGCTCTTCGTGGAGCGCACCAAGGACGGGCAGGTGCTGCCCGTGCCCAACGTGGTGGTCCGGGACGTGGCCTGCGGAGCCAACCACACCGTACGGACACCGGGAAACCGGGAATGGCCCCGGGAATGTGGGAATGGGAATATGGGAATGGGGGCGGGATGTGGCCTGCGGAGCAAACCACACCGTACGGACACCGGGAAACTGGGAATGGGAATGTGGGAATGGGAATGGGGGCAGGACGTGGCCTGTGGAGCCAACCACACCGTATGGATTGGGATTGGGATTGGGAATATGGGAATGGGAATATGGGAATAGGAATATGGGAATGGGAATGGGAATGGGAATGGGGGCAGGACATGGCCTGCAGAGCCAACCACACCGTCCAGACATGGGCAAAGCAGGAAGGGGAATGGGAACGGGATCATGAATGGGAACAGGAATGGGGGCGGTCTATCCCTGGGCTTTTTGGGATCCCTGATCCCCGCTCCATCCCAGCCGGATTCCCAGGAATCCCCTGGGCTTTTTGGGATCCCTGATGGCCGCTCCCTGTCGCTCCCAGCTGGTGCTGGATTCCCAGAAACGCGTCTTCTCCTGGGGCTTCGGCGGCTACGGGCGCCTGGGCCACGCCGAGCAGAAGGACGAGATGGTTCCGCGGCTGGTGAAGCTCTTCGACTTCCCGGGACGCGGCGCTTCCCAGATCTACGCGGGATACACCTGCTCCTTCGCCGTCAGCGAGACAGGTGGGGAATGCCGGGAACGCCGGGAATGCCAGGGGTACGGCAGCGGGACAGGTGGGAATTCGGGATCTGGGATTTGGGAATTCTGGGGGGGGTTTTGTCCTCACAGGTGGGAATGCCGGGATTTGGGAATTCTGAGGGGACACATGCCCTGACAGGTGGGATCCCAGGAATGCCAGGATTTGGGAATTCTGGGGGGATCCATAACCTGACAGGTGGGATTCCCACAGTTTGGGAATTCCAGGATCTGTGCCCTGACAGGTGGGATTCCCAGGATTTGGGAATTCCGGGGGGGATCCGTGCCCTGACGGGTTCCTTTGCAGGTGGATTGTTCTTCTGGGGCGCCACCAACACTTCCCGGGAATCCACCATGTATCCCAAAGCCGTGCAGGATCTCTGCGGCTGGAAGATCCGCAGCCTGGCCTGCGGGTGAGCGCGGCTCCGGGGGAATTCCCAAATCCCTTTCCCGGGATCG